ATTTGTAATTTTCTTGGATCTTTTAAATCCTAATCAGAGGGCCAAACCTTATCTTACCATTTTTTCTTCATGGAGTCCTAGAGTATAACTTGGAGGCAGAATTTGGCTTCTACTCAGCGGTGCCTCTCAGCCAAATATAATGAGGCATTATGTTGATTTAAACATTTATGGACTTATTTTTTTCAGTGCTGCTCCAGAATGAGCATGTGTTAAGTTTGGACTGCCTTTCTTTGCGTTATTTTGTTGCTTTCTGAAACATCTGGGTGCCAGTGGTTGCCTGTGATTTCAGATGCTAATTAAATATAATCATATTGCAGGATTATTTTCAAAAACAATGATGTACTCCTGTTTCAGAGAGATGTTCAAAACTGAGTGAAGATGAGAGAAAAGCTCTGATTAACAAGGCTCCAGAAGGGAGAATGTAGGTCCTCAGTTACACACAAACATATCCTACTAGTTTCAAGGGCAGTTATGCATGGGAACTTAATGGGCAATAGATGTGTATAGTCTGTGCACACAGTTTCACGTACACAGATAGTTGCAGGAAAACCTTTTCTGACCCTAATGTCAAAACCAAAGTTTATGTGCAGATACCCCTGAGACCACTGAAGCTTGGTGCCATTTTGAGGACAGAAGTTATCAGTCTTGAAAAAATTCAGTTGACCCCGATGTTCAGAGAAATTGGCTGGACTTTAAGAAAGGAAATCTGAGTTATTATTAGAGGAAAATTGATGATTGATACTAAAGCTATTACCCTGTGAGCAAGTCTCCCTTACTCATGCATACTCATTTCATCATTTCACCGGTTTGCCTTTGATTTAGACCCAGTGGCTTAGCATGAGATCTGTTCTGGGAACAGGAGTCTTTTCTTCACGTGGTCTCTGCCAGCACAAAGAAAGGCCAAAACTCAGCACTTGGGTTTGAATGAAGGAAGCTGTGACATGTGCTGGAGAAGATTTGCCCATGCTTGAAATTAAGCTTCCCTGAGCCTTAATTCTGTACCTGCATGCTGGGCTGGACTGCTTGGGGCTGGACATGGGAGGGGAGCCGGTCGCTGCGATGCAGGAGCGACAGGCAGCAATGCTTCTCGCTGCAGGGAGCAATATTTACTTGTCGACAGCAGGAGTGACTGCTCTGAGGTGTTTCCTGTGCTTTGGGGTGAAAATGACCTACTTCGTGTGGGTGATGATACAGCTTCTCCTGTCTTCTCCGAGAGAACCCAACACAAAATGTCGTGTTAGAATTGTTACAGCAGTTAACATTTAACTAGTGCACTTAATACCCTGCTTCCTCCTCTTGCGGAAGACAAAAATAGGTGTGGTGTTATCATCTCCTGGTGCAGTGCTTTTAAATTTCCTTACTCGCTCTTTCTTTGAAGCCTGCCTTCAGTGGTGTTACCAAAATATAGCCTTTCTTGACATGTTTTTTGCTTTTTTCCCCATTCTTTTTGATTGCTGTTTTTCTACTCTGATCAGCATGAGACTTTATTTTCAGTGGTTTTTCATGTTTTTACAGAATTACAATCGACCTCCAGTAATGGCCTTAGCTGTCCCAGTGGCAGTGAAATTTCTTCAGAGGGGCAATAAAGAACTGTGCAGAAACATGTCAAGTTATCTATCCTTGGCTGCAATCGCGAAAGCAGATCTGCTGGCTGATCACACAGACACCATTATCAAAAGCGTCCTTCAAGGTAGGAACTCGCTGAGATTTTGGATTTAGTCCTGCAGCGTGCCTACTGTTAGATTAGTTAGGCTGTATTAGGCATATATACAAACGCATTATATGTTAAAACGTGTATGAGGCATGTATGTATAAAGCATGCATATCTATAAACATGTGATAAAACACGTTAGAAAATCTAATAACAGACTATATCAAGGTAGACCTTTCAAGAATATGTGAATTTACTGAACGTTGTTGACTATAGGAGTTTCATTGTAGATTGAATGACCGACAGGGCAGGAAATACATCTGTACTTGTTAGTATACTGTACTAATGGATTTAAAATTATAAGCCATGATATGAGACACTAGCTACTGGGCTCTATTCCTTTCTATTATAGTGTCATTGACAATGCTCCAAAATATAAATGGGGATGAAATGAATCCTATTCTGTGTCAAAATAGTCAGTTGTAAGGTATAGAAGCTCTGTAGTGGTTCTTTAATTTTGCCTACATTATTAGCTTTGCTTGGAATATTGTTGTTAAACTCTGTACATTTTACTTTTGTGGTTTAAAAAAGCCAAAAATATTTATACCTGTACAAAAGGAAGTCCAATTTGGTTGAAGTAGTAAAGTTCACAGTATTTGTTGCAGTACAGTGCTACTGCAGTAGTAAAAATCACTGTTTGTTTTTCTTTGAGTATGGGTAATAGCAATATGTAGCAATAGCTGTCTAATTATTCCAAGATCATAGTTATGAAAATGTTAAGTCCTCAAATTAAATGTGTGCATTCTGTCTTTATTAAAAAAAATATAAATGGAGTGTCGTTATTTTTAGGTGTCTTATGGAAGGGTAGGGAAGCTAGAAAGTAATTTTGTCGTTAAGACATTATGATAAGAGTTTGCATATTTGTCTGCTTTGTTTAAGGACAAATGTGTAATAAATATGATAAATGCTAAATATGTATAAGCTATGTGATAATACTAATTGAGTAGAGTCCAAGAACAGAATATTGCTAACAACGTACAAAGCCACATGAATAATTTGTTTAAGACTCATGACATTAGTATTTATGAGTTAACGTTGTGCATTACTTATAACGCAGTGCTATTAACAGAAAGAAATAAAGTAAAACAGGTTTTATGGTATAGTTGTAAGTTTAGGAAAAGTGATTAGCAGTCACAACTGAAGGTTTCATTGCGACTGCTTGTTTTTGTGTACATATGTTATTCTACCAGCAGATGTTGCTGTGGACATCAGGTTTGGAAATTCCAGACTGGAAGAGGGCACTCTGAATAGGCAAAGTGCTCTGTTTTGCATACTGGCTTAATTGCATTGTACATAATTTGTATTTCGGGCATGAAAAGGTTGGTTTGCAGCAGGCTAAGAACTGCGCTTAAAGACTGAGTGTTTGCTGAAGGGAGAGGGGAAGCAAGAGGATAAGCTGCTAAGGATGGATTTACAAAGCAGTGCGGAGACAAAGGGCCTTGTTCTGGGGCTGCACAGACGGGGCTCAGCCTAACGGCACCAGTGAGACTGATAGTAGACTTTGGCCCGTTGCCTGTGAGCGTTTGAGAGCTAACTGGATTTTTTGATTACTTGGGGCAACTGTTTGGCTGCATAATCAGTTTCTTATCTTATTAGCGAAAAAAGAGCTCTTTAGAAAGAGGGTTTAAGTACTCTGTTCCAGTTAGTGTGAACTCAGCTTCTAAACATGCAAATGTCTGTACGGTGCCCGCGATGCTGACGGGCCGTGTGCTGACACCTTCCATCAGCGCAAGGGATCAGGCAGGTTTATTCCTCTTTCCAAGGGACAGCAGGAAGACTACCCTGCAGCCGCTGCCGTAACCCGTCCCACGGCTGGCGCACCTTCCAGGGGAGGTCAGGCAAGGGTTGTTGCATTCAGCAGAGGTTCGTTGGGGAGCACAACTGGGCTCAGCAACGTACTCCAGGCACGCACGTCTGGTGCTTGCTCCTTCATTTCTACGTTAGCAGTGCGGGAGCAGGGTCGCGGTGGCCTTTCCGTATTTGGAGCCCGAACTCCCACAAAATACTATTTACTTGGTGTTTTTCCAAACAGACAAAGTAACTGATGACAAAGGAAAATACAGTTAAGCTAGGAAAGAAAGGGAGAAGCATGATGATGGAGGCCACTTGTGGTGCTGGGCAGGAGGGGACTAGTCTGTGGGAAAGCTTTGCTAGTCCACAGAGGTGATAAAGGAAGAGCAAAGCAATTGGAAAGAGGAGTTTTCCAGCTGCGTCAGTGAGAATGAAAGAACTGGCTTTGCGTTTGGTCATCTGCCAAACCAGAACAGAGATAGGAAAAGGCCACTTCCAAGAGAAAGCATTTCAGGTATGAGGTACAGTAAGAAAAGTAGCCAGGAAGGACTTCTGGTAATCTTTTTGAGGATTTTACTTTTTCTGCTGTGTTTCATGGACATTTGTTTTCATTTAATGGAGGGCACTGTATGGAAAGAGGATTTGAGAGCATTTTTGCCCTTCACAGTGTTGGGACCTCAGGTGTTTTTCTTCGCTCAGAATATCTGTTTTCTGGCTGACGGCAGATGGATGGAGGTAATATTTCATTGTTCTGTAGTTCAGGTTATTTGCAGATATTATTTAGTAGGGGATTTTTATTGTGCTTTTACTTCTAAGCATTTATAATTTAGATACATTTTTATTATAGGGTAATAGGAAAAATTCCAGCAATTGGAGTAGTTATTTTTACCTTAAACAAACAGTGTTGCCAAAACTTTGGATCATGTAACTTTAGCTAGGAAGCACAACCCCCTTGAATGGCATAGTAAAGTGGAAATTACCTTGTCACAGCTTTTTCTTACTACTTTTGTATCGTGGAAGGAAGGATCTGGTCGCTGTGTCATATTCGGGAATAAACATAGCAGCAATATGTCAAGAAACTTTTCAAAGCGCGTTCTTAGGACATCTGTGGAGAATGAGAAAGAGAAACACGTGAATAGAGCAGAAGGGTGGGCTGCTTCCAGTGGAAATAAGAATTGCTCAGAGTATAACATTTTCCACGATAACTTGTTCAGATGCTTCAAGGGATAGCGAAAAATCATTCTTGTCTTTCGCTGGTTACATATCCAGCAAGTGACTATTCATCAGTGTCTGCTTCTGTTCTGTTTTTCTACACGCAAATCTCCACCAGTGTCTTGGCTCTCTGTATCTGCTGCTTATGCACTGTATCCAGCCCTATGTTTTTATTGGATTTTGGATAAGCTTGCAAATGTGAGAGAAGAAAGCCGCTGCCATCAGTTCTGCCTTGTACAAACCTCCTGTTAGCATCAAGCGAGTTGGTCACTTTGGATATCTAAATGTGCCTTAAAACAGAGTATGTCATTCTCGGATGGACAGCATTACGCATGGGGTACGGATTGACTTTTATTTGGGGATATCTCAATTCTTCCTTCAGCCTCCAAGCGCCGTGCCAGCGCAGCCTCAGGTCAATGCACGTGCATCAGTATGTCGAAGCATCTCTTCTGTACAAGCGACCGTGTCCATGTGGGAGAACTCCTAGAGCGGCAGATCCTTTCACATGGCAGTGTTCGCAAGAGGGATTATCATGACAGGCCTTTAAAGCCATCTCTGGCTAATGCTTGGATTTTGGGTATCTAAACGTATGAGATGTTGATATTTATATTCTTTTTCTACTAGCAGCTGAAACTGTGTTGTTCAAAACATGGAAAAAATCCCAACTGGTACTTACTTTCAGAGTTTCAGTTCATGAGAAGCATGGAAAATGTTTAGTTTAGTAAAGTATCTTTATTTACAGAACAACTTTACAAAAATAATTTCAATAAAATTAATACAAAGTTCATTTACAATATAATACAGCTGCATTTTCTTGAAATGTAACATCAGATTATGATGGGGAATATTACTTTTATATGTTAGGTCAAATCTGTGGCATAAATAATGATTTAAACAAGGAGCTAGTTTTGTTATAGCCTACAAATTACTAACAATGATTAATAAACAACAAATTTCTTGGCTTATGTGGTTCCTCTGTACAATTCACCTTAGCACTAAAAACCAATGACCGGAGGAGCCAGGAAGATGCTCAGCCTTATGTCTGTTATGCAGAGACTGGTCAGCCGAATACCCGATGTGTTTTGTTCAGACGTTCAGCTCCAAAATGTTCACAGTGGCACTTTAAAACATCAGAAAACACTATGCTAGAGAGACAGCGGTCGGACCTCAGGAATGGTTTTTCCAATGTCACACCTTGATTTGGGTTTTTCAGTGTTTTGCCGAAACAGCAGGCAGGGATCAAGTCCCGTCTCCACAGTACCTCATTTTGTAAAAATGCAATGCTAATCTTCCTTGGGAATTCAAAAGACGGGGGCTCCTACGGCTCTGTTCACTTGTACATATTGGCGTTCGGCTCTTTATGAAATATGTTCTCTGCTTTAGAAACTGCAGGATTTAAGAAATGTACTGGGCTCCCCCGTACGGCAAAACTTCTGTGACTCCCCACCCGATGATGTTGCCCCTGATACTGCATGCATCTTCTCCGCTCTGCGCTGCTATCTCTTTGGCACTGAGCACTCTGTCCCACATGTTAAAGCCGGTTAATTTTCCAGAGAAGGCTAAAGCTTCATCAAATCCACCTCCAATGCAGCAGCCGTTCTTTTCTTGACCGATCTGCAAAATCCCTCCATCTGGAATGGTGTGAGCGTCGGCCACGTCCGAGGCGGTGCCTGCGAGTTCTCCCTTCACCCACAGAGATGCAGATCCGTTCTCTGAGCTCCAGGCACCGCAGAGATGGATCCACTTCCCAGAAACAACTACATTTTTGACAGTTAACTTGTGTTGGTCACCGCCAACAAGCAGCACTGCAGACTCCCGGCTGAGATAAAGCTGGATTTCATATGGATTGAACTTGGTTCCATAGGAGAAGACAATAGTTTTGTCTAAAGCCTCGGTCACCTTGATCCAGATGCAAGCAGTAAAGGAGCGAAGGGTCATTCCAGCAGTTGGGTGAACGCTCCCAAATATCTTTTTCG